CTTCAAGATCTTTAGATCTTTTATAAGTGAGCATGTGGTCCTTTGTTCCTTGTAAATACCTCAAAACTTTCTTTGCAGCTTTCCAATGATCTATTCCTGGATTACTTTGATACATGCCCAGCATCCCGACGACAAAGCTAATGTCTGGTCTGATACAAGTTTGAGCATACATTAAACTTCCAACAATAGATGCATAAGGAAATTCTTCCATTTGTTTATCTCACAAATCATTCTTTAGACACTGCATAAGGCTGAATTTATCTCCTTTCTGAATTGGAGCAACACTTGCTTCCATATTGAATCTCTTAAGAACTCTTTCAATATATGTTTTCTGAGATAGCCCTAACAATCCTTGTGATCTATTACAAAATATTTCAATTCCAATCACATAATATGTCTCACTCATATCTTTCATCTCAAAGTTCTTAGAGAGAAAATTCTTGGTTTAATATAATAAGCCAAGATCATTAGTAGCCAGCAAGATGTCATCAACATACAGAATAAGAAATATAATTTTACTCCCACTAACCTTTAGATATATACACCGATCAACAATGTTTTCCTTAAATCCAAAGGATGTGATGATATCATTAAACTTAAGATACCATTGTCGGGAAGCTTGCTTAAGTCCGTATATTGATTTCTTAAGTTTACACACCATGTGTTCCTTTCCTTCAATAAAAAATCCTTCAGGTTGACTCATGTAGACCTCTTCATCTAAATTCATATTCAGAAGGGCAATTTTCACATCCATTTGGTGTAACTTCAAATCATAATGAGCTACTAGTGTCATGATAATTCTAAATGAATCTTTCTTAGAAACTGGAGAAAATGTTTCTTTATAGTCGATGTCATCTTTCTGAGTGAAACCTTTGGCAAGAAGTCTGATAGTCTGGTTTTATATCGTTCAATATTGTCATTCGAATCGTGCTTAGCCTTAAAGAACCATTTACACCCGACTCTTTTACAATTTTTAGGCAATTCAACGATATCCCAAACTTTGTTGTGATTCATCGATTTCAACTCATCTTTCATTGCATCTAACTATTTAGAAGAATTTGCACTTTTTATGGCTTGTGAAAATGTAACTGGATCTTCATTGACTCCTAAGTCAAATTCAGATTCATGAAGATAAACCACATAATGATCAGAAATAGCAGACCATTTTTGTCGTTGAGACTTTCTAAGTACTACTTCATGTGATTCATCTAATATAGGTTCATTAGTGACAGTTTCATTGTGGGGTATTTGATCATACATTTATTGTTCTTGTAAGTTGTCAAAATGTTCAACAACTGTAGGAATAACAACTTGAGAAGAAATTTTGGGTAAAGGAACTTGAACCCTAATTTCTTGGATCTCCACTTTATGTGGTTCCAAACTCCCACTAACTTCACCATTTTCAATGAACTTAGCATTTCCAGTTTCAATAATTCTTGTACTGTGATTAGGACAATAAAATCTATACCCTTTAGATTTTTCTGGATAACCAATGAAGAAACCACTGGTTGTTCTTGAGTCCAGTTTCTTTTCATGCGGATTATATAACCTTATTTCAACTGGGCAACCCCAAACACCAGGTACCCTAAATTAGGTTTCCTTCCTGTCCACAGTTCAAAAGGAGTCTTTGGAACTGCCTTACTAGGAATCCTGTTTAATAAATATGCAGCGGTCTTTAAAGCATGCATCCACAATAATGAGGGTAAAGAAGAATTACTCATCATACTCCTAACCATTTCCATTAGAGTACGA